ATCCTTCCTTCTGGAGGGAACTGATCACCAGCACTCAACCCATCAGCTTCACACCCAGCAGAGACATGTGTCTGTCTCCAGGGCAAGTTTGTGATCCCTCCCTCTCACACACCCACAACACCCTCACATCTCCCCTTCTTTCTTGCACTACCAGGAGCCACACCAATCACTCTCCAGCCAGGGATACTCACGCTGCTGTCACATTATAGGGAGTCTTGTCCACCCACTGCCACTGATCTTTAATCTCTGCTCGCAGACCGATGTAGAAATCCTCTCCTCTTGCACCTTGTTTTATCTGTTTAGAGAGGAACACCTGGAAATGAGGGAGAATGCAATGTCCGTGAGATGCAGGATTGATCAGAAGGAGGCATCAGGAGCCCCTATGGGGTAGGGATGGTGACAGACGGGAGCCAGTCCAGCAGAGTGGACAGGACATTCCCTCTCCCCTGCAGGACAAGGAGGGACTCTGAGTCCCCTCCAGGGCCCAGCACTGTGTCTGTGGCTGCTCTGCCTCTCTCTCAGCCCTGTGCATGTACCTGCTCTTCCTCACTGTTGATCACCACCAGCTGGGAGCCCATCCCAGTGCAGTTCTGCTCACTCTCAGCCCAGGACATCTTATCAAGGGACAGAAAATAGCAGCTGTTTTGAAACCTTTTCCAGCCCTTTGGGCAGCACATCCAGCCTTGGCCTATGTGAGGAGAGAACATAGAAATTAATGCAATGAATGCTAGCAACAAGAGACATGGTGATTGCAAGATGTCCAGGGACAGTGCTCATGTTCTCCTAAGTCACTTTTCCTGACAGAAATTGCGTGAAAAACAAGGAGAGTAGAGACATTTCTTCTCATTGCTTTGGGGTGTGACCAGTGAGGTTTGCGTACACAAAATCCTGGTAATCTCCTTGCAGGTCTTCACAAAATTATTTGGGTGGTCTGGTTTGGCTCTTCTGAATCAAGTCAGTCTCCTTTAGGCCTTTAGCCCCAGGAAACAGCGGATATTGCTTCTTTCCCTAACTGGAGCTGCCCTTTTATTACTACTCCATTGTTAACCTCCCCTGGGCCACTCTCTGCTGTCCCCTTTGTCTGGTCAGAGTTCACAGCCACGCTGCTCTCCAGGACATCATTAACACAGCCTCTCCTCCCCCTAAACTCTTAGCAGGAAACCCTTTTTCTCCCTGCTTCCCTCCTCTGCAGTCTGCCTCTCCCCAGTCTGCTCCTGCTGCCACTTGCTCTCAGAGCAGATCTCAGCATTCATTGTTGCCATCCCAAAGACCTCCTGTACCCCTGCCAGCCCTACTGACCTTTGTTTTCTGACACCGCTGAGTCGCACTCCCACGCCGTGAATTTCTCCTGCAGGGCTGTGGGCTGCTTGCCGCTGTGGGAGAAGGGAGCCACTGGAAAGGGAGAGGAAAGGTGGCAGCATTACCCCTTCCTCCTGGCTCCTCACACAGCCTCTCTGGCCTTCACTCCTCTTCCACCATTTCCACACCAAGCACTGTCCCAGCCATCTCCTCTCCTGGCCCAAACAACTGGCGTGGCTGCCTTCCCAGCCACAAAAAGACAATCTTGCTTCTCAATTCTCACACAGTAGAAGGAACACTGCAAGGACACACCCTGAGGACATGCCACACATTGATTGCATCACTGAGTGCATAGGATTTCATAGCCCCCAGTTTCTGGGGAAAAACACAATGTTGGTGAGTGGTCACATCCACAACCTGAAGAATTTCTTCAGTACCTACCCCTTTGCTTCCTGTCATGAGGATGTTGAAGATCCCGGTGAGGTCTCCCTTCAGTCTTCTCTTCTCCAGGACGAACAGATCAAGCGAGCTCAGCCACTCCTCGTAAGGTTTTTCCACCAGACCCTTCACCCTCCTCGTGACCCTCCTTTGGACACTAATAGTTGAATGTCTTTTTTATATTGTGGTGCCCCAAAGTGCACACAGGACTCAAGGAGAGGCCTCATAATGGCCTCAATGCCTGATGATGAACGAACTCCTGTAATGGAAGAAGGCTCCGAGGAGATGGTCAAGGGCAATGACTGACCACCCCTGATGCAAGTAAAGGTGACCTTACAACTACACAAAGGGGGATGAGAAGATAGATTGCCTTTGTTTTGGTTCAGCTGAGTGAAATGACCAGCTGTGTAATTGTGCATCCCTCTAAAGATCACGAAGAGGGTGGTCTCTTCCTAAGATAGCCAGAGCAGCATGCGATGAATGAATATGTGTATATGAATGGGAATTATGTCTATAAATATGTGAATATGAGCGAATTATGAAATAGTGTAAAAAATCAAATGATTAACAGAAACCTACTTGAGGAAAGCACTGGGCCTGAGCTGGCTTTAACTCACATATTTTGTCTTGGTCACTGGGGACACTGGATGCCTTGATGTTGAGCATATTATAAACTGTGTTCAGTTTTGGGCCCTGCAGAACAGGAAAGACATTGAGGTGCTGAGTGTGTCCAGAGAATGACAGTAGAGCTTGTCTGGAGCACAAGTCCTGTGAGGAGTAGCTATGAAAGCTGTGGACTTATGGATACCCTTGGGTTTCCCCATGGGAGCATGGGTAATTGACCATGATGTTTGTGTGAACAGGCAGGGAGACAGCACAGGGAATGGAGCTGGATTCATCCAGGATGAAGCACTTTCAGCTAGATTAGTGAACCAGATTAACTAACAGTTGAGGGCTTGTGTGAGCAGAAGAGTAGAAAAGTTGGTCAAATACAAGTATGGAACAACCCACCCTCTTCCACTGGACCAGAACAGGTTTTCATGGCATCTGAAGTAAAATTGTGCAATACAGAATCTTCTTCCCTCAAATCCACATCTTTCTTCCTTAAAACAATCCAGTTCTAACTGACAGTGACATTCCCAACCTCAAAGACTCAGTGACACCAGAGTAAATGTTGGCGAAGTTCTTTGTGTTGCTTATGGGGGTCTCAACATCACTCACTTTTGTCTGCAGAAACGTTGGGAACACAGTACCACTCTGTAGAGTTCTGGAGCAGAGTCTTGTCCTGGCCATAGCCTCCGTGAAGTAAAACAACTGGGAAGAGAGGAACGAGAAGGAAAGTGCTACTGTCACCCTTTCCTCCTCATTCATAGGCAACCTGTCCCATCCTCCACCTTCCAGCTCAGAGCCCCCACGGAGACTCTGTTATGTGACCAAGCTCTGAAACCTGTATTGAACAAGGAGGTGAGAAACAGCGGGCCATTTCTCCCACTGCCAGTCCCCTCTCCCTCAGATGAGCTTGTCTCACCTCTGCTGGCTGAGAGACTCATTTTCCCAGCTGACAAAAACCAGCTAGGATATTTTTCCAGGATGGAGTCAGGAAACAGACAAAGAAATCATGGGATAGGCTTAATAAAGGTGGAAAGGGTTCCTTGAATCCTAGGGAATTAAGAGACCCTGGAACCCACCAAGGCAGACGGTCACAAAGGCAGTTTTGATGACAAGGGCTGAAATAAGGCAGACCCAGGGGTTCAGCCAGGAGCAGCTTCTCTCTTCTGCTGGGGCTGAAAAACACAAAGCAAGAGTGGGAATCCCCCAGACCAGAGTCAGGGGCAGCATAACCAAGATGGCTCTGTACCCCAGCAGCCTGCTGGTACCC